TTACAGTGCAGTGAATTGCTTACTATGGCCTTGTAGCCATGGTCCTCCATTGTGTGATGCATTGTAGATCCTAGTCTCTGTGCCTGTCCAGGGTGGGATATATCTTGAGTCCCTCCTTGCTGGAGGGTGTGACTCAACTCACCACCCTTAGCTTCCTTCCAGGTATATATGTGAATGTTCTAGGAACGCTCTCTCTCTTGCTCCAGTCCTGCGTTTGGCTTGTTATCATCTTAGGGGTTTGCCAGCCCCTGCAACCATGTGAGTGGGGAGAATCCTCCAAACTTACCCTTGGACTCGGGCCTTGCCATCCTCCCGGCCTGCACCACCACATGAGCCATCTCCTTGGCAGTTTGTGAGTTGCAGAAAATACAGAGTCCTAAGACAGAAGGGACAGTATTGAAGGGAGGAGGAGTAGTTGATGTTAGACATGATGGAGTGGCACAGCAATTTGGATAAGTTGGACACTTGGAACATCTTTAACCTCTGCCTCATAGGACCAGCCTTGTGTTGATCCTTCTAAAATAAATTATTCGAGCAGCAATGTAATATAATCACCATGCATAATGTAATCAAGCCATCAGTTGAAAGGGAAGTTTCCTTGGTGTGTGGTCTGCTCCCACACTATAAATAGATAATTTTGGCAGAACTCTATCACTCTCTTCCTTCTTCACTCTTCCCATTCCTGACCTATGGATCTTGGGACACAAGTCTACTGCCTGAACTATGGATTTTGGACTTGCCAGCCCCCCATAATCATGTGAGCCAATCCCTTAAAGTAAATCTCTTTCTATACATATACATGGGAGCTCTGGTGGCTTAGTGCCTAAGGCATTTGACTGCTAACCAGAAGGGTGGTGGTTCAAATCCACCAGCTACTCCTCAGAAGGAAGACTGGGCAATCTACTTCTGTAGAGATACCGCCTCACCCAAGGAGGGGTCACTATGAGTCGGAACTGACTTGGTGGCAGTGAGTTTGGTTTGGGGTTTTTGTATATGCATACTTATATCTCACTGGTTCTGCTTCTTTAAAAGGACTGCTGGCAGCGCAGTGGTTAAGTGCATGACTACTAACCAAAAGGTTGGCAGTTCAAACCTACAAGATACTCCTCAGGAAGAAGCTGTGGCAGTAAAAAACAAAATCACAGCCTTGGAAACCCTATGGGGCAGTTTTGTTCTATAGGGTCACTATGAGTCTGAATTGATTTGATAGCAATGTTTTTGTTTGTTTGTTTGTTTTTGGTTTTCTGTTTCTCTAGAGAAACTTAGACATACCTTTCCAGAATTTTCTTTTGCAAACAAATATATTTTCCCTCCTCCTCTTTTACACAAAAGGTAGCATTCCTTTGACATCTGTGGTAGTTAAGGTTATGTGTCAACTTGGCTGGGCCTGCTTTTGAGTGGCTGGGCAGCTGGATGTAGTTATTCCCCATGATGAGGCTGGTAATCAGCTCCATGCTGGAATCTACTGGAGCAACTGAATAGCTACTTTAGGGATGTGGTCTGCTTCCAATATTTATGAAGAAGCACTGAGAAAGGTCTCTGTAGCTTTTTGGGACATTTGACCCTGCATGTAGCTGAGTCTTCATTCAGAAGCCTGCCATGTTCCCTGCCAATCTTGGGACTGTTTCTGGATTTGAACTAGTGGCCTGCCATTTTGTTTGGTAATCTTGGGACTGTGCCATTTTACATGTCAAACTTGGGTTTGTCAGCCTCAGCAGCCAACAATGCCTGAGCTAAAAGACACCTCCAGCTTCAGTGGGCCGGAAGCAAGAGGCAGAGCTGAAGCCCAAGGTTGAGGGGCTTGCACTCAGTGCATAGAGCTGGCACTATGAACTCGGACTTCTAGCCTCCTAAACTGTAAGAGAATAAATCCCGGTTTGTTCAAGCCACCCATTTGTGGTATTTTCTGGTAGAATGGCACTAGAGAACCAAAACAACACCCTACTGCACTTTTCTTCTTTCTCTTAACAATGTAATTGGAGACTTTTCCATATTTGTACACATCAAGAGCTTTCTCATTCTTTTTTGCCACATTGAATCCCATTGAGTGGATGTCCCATAACTTATTTAACTGGGTCCTTACTGATAGTCAAGCTGTTTCCTAGACGAAGCCTGTCCTGCCTTCCCTGACAAGCCAGTCAAGAAGTCAGGATGGGGTTATAAAGCTGGGGGTGGAGTAGGGAGACACCATCCTAGGTGCTCTGAGGACAGAAGTTAGGCTCTGGTACAGGACAGGGAGGGAAAGTGGGGATGGAAGGTGAAAGGCCAGATGAGGTCTCCCCTGGGTCTCCTAGGAAACTGGCTTCTCTGCTGGCTTGCCCTCTGGTGCTCTCAACACCACTGCCCTTGCTAAATTCCCTCCTCTACATGCCTCTTACCTGTTGGCCTTCCCTGGTTCTGAGTCTGACTATCTGAGTAAGTTCCCTAGACCTCACAGAGGAGGGTGGTTGAGGTATGAGGACCCGGGGCCTGGCTCTCTGGGTCTGTACTCTAACTGGCTTTCACTTGGATGGTGATTTTGAGCAATAGCTGAACAGGTCAGTGGCCTTCACCTAGCCCAAGTTCAGCTTCCCTGTCTGTCCCATTGCCAGTCCTGAGCTTTTAAACTTCAGCTGCCTTGGGGCAAGAGAGAGGAGGCCTGAGATACTGTGGAATCACCTCCCCTCCTCACTCCTTACCCCCATCCAGGAGCATATCCAGGGTATGGCAGCTGTGGCATGTGCCCTGTGGGGCCGCCAATGGGCATTTCTATTCATCATCATAGCAGTTTCCATTGCCAGCTGTGAGAGATCATTCAGCACTTTAGTTTGCTGTAGATACTATTTGCCATAGATATACCTTTGCCTAATGGTGTCACTAGGAGCTCTGGTGACATAGTGCCTAAGGCACTTGACTGCTAACCAGAAGGCTGGTGGTTCAAACCCACCAGCCACTCCTCGGAAGGAAAGTTGGACAATCTACTTCCATAGTGACACTACCTTGGAAACCCAAGGAGAGGTCGTTATGCATCAGATCCAACTCGATGGTAGTGAGTTTGGTTTTTGGAATGGTGTCACTAGGGTGATGCTGGGGTGGTAGGTGGCAGGGGTGTGTGTGGGGGTACAGAGTACACTGGGTAACACTGTCAGAGCAGATGACACCAAAGTGACTGTCTATAAAATTTTTGTCCAGTGTTTCAGCAGAAATTTATTATTTTTTATAAAACATCCCTGTAGTTAGCTGTAACCACAAAAACGTTTTTTTTTTTTTAGTAAGTCCAGCTTACATGTATCAATATATCCACAAGGCTAAAACTCTATGCTAATTTACTCTTTGTATCTTCTAATGAGCTCTGGTCAGAACTGTCATTATTATCCAATTACAATGATACATCAAATCACTTGCTTTCGTCTGCAGCCGCTATAAGCAAGCACTGTTCTCATGGTTGCTGTTGTTTTTATAGTCACTGATTTTGTCAAATTCTCTGGTGTTTTAGCTACAATATTGTGGTAAGTATTATTTGTGAACCTCTATCAATAACTTTTTTGAAGCTGGAATTAGAAACACCATTTGACCTAGCAATCCCATTACTAGGTATATATTCTGAAAAAGTGAGAGCCAGGACAAGAACAGATATATGCATTCCCATGTTCATCACAGTGCTATTTACCATTGCAAAAAGATGGAAACAACCTACATGTCCATCAACAGAAGAAGAGATTAACCAAACTATGGTACATACACACAATGGAACACTATGTAGCACTAAAGAATAATGTAGAATCTGCAAAACACTGCATAACATGAATGAACCTGGAGGACATTATGCTGAGTGAAATAAGGGAATCACCAAAGGACAAATATAGTATTAGTTTATTATTGTAAAAAGTCAAGGAAAGGCTTATGTATGGAAGGAAACTTTCTTTGTTGGTTATCAGGGGTGGGAGAGGAGGAGAAGGAACACTGCAAAAAAAAAAAAAAAATTCATTGACCCATGTCACTTTAGTTTTGTGTATTTCACTGTACAGAAATTATATTTCAATAAAATATATTTTAAAAAATAAATAACTTTTTTGAGAATGAAGTAGTAATGAAAGGAAAAGGAGAAAAATTTTTAAAAAGCCTTCCATTCAGTTACTAATAATGTAACTAATAATATTGTAATTTAATGTAGAAAGATTTTACAAAACAGTTTTGTTGTTAGTATTCATTTAATCTAAGAAATATTACATTTAAGCAATTTATAACTATGTTTGTCACATATTCTATGATTAAGGAGCTCTGGTGGCACAGTGGTAAGGCATTTGACTGCTAACCAGAAGGTTGGTGGTTTAAACCCACCAGCTGCTCTACAGGAGGAGGATGGGGCAACCCACTTCTGTGAAGATTTACAGCCTTGGAAACTCAATGGGGGTCAATATGAGTTGAAATCTACTCGATGACTGTGTGTAGTGGGTATTCTATGATTAAAATTGATAATAAACATTACTAATGATTCTACATGGGAGGAGGTCAATGGGGGTGTGTGACACCATGAGTTACTGCATTGGGTGACACCAACCCTAGTGATGTCACTGCCTCTTCCCCCATCAGCAGACTATGCCTTGTGGCTCCTCCCTGTGCAGATTTGGGAGGAATTGTGGAACCGGAAGGGCCTTCAGATTGTGTACAAAACCCTGGCAAAAATCCAGAGACAGGCAGTGGCTCCTTTCAAGATCACAGAGCAAACTAGTGTCAGAGCCTGGACTGAAAGTGGTGTGAGGGCTGGAGAGTTGCTCAAGGATTCATGCCTCCAGATCTGTGATGACCTCAGGAAGGGCTTGCTCTCATCTTTACCTCATTCCTTGGCTCAGCTACCCTGTGGGCATCTCTCCTAAGAGCAGTGACAATGCAGGGTGGGGAGGGCAGAAGATCTGGGGTTGAGAGGGGATCAGAAGAACTGAGGAGATTTAAGAGTTTGTAACCTCTCCCTCAGGCCTTTCCAACCTTTAACTATGGCTCCTCCATAAGAGCAGACGGCCATGGCCTGGCAGATGACACAACTGCTGCTGCTTCTAGCTTTGGGGGCCTCTGCATGGGGCACCCACCTCAGGACTCCCCAGGACAGGACAGACCTGCTTAATGTCTGCATGGATGCCAAGCACCACAAGACAAAGCCGGGTCCCGAGGACAAACTGCATGACCAGGTGAGGATAGAGTGGGGCCTGGTATGGGGTAAGGGCTGACCCTGGCAGTAGGGGAGTGGAAAGGTTAGTTTTTGGGGAGAGAAGGAGTCAATGGGGCACAGAGGTGATCCTGGAGGGCCTCCCCCCAGGAGGACAGCAAATCTACAGTAATGGAGGGACCATTAATCTAGTACCCACTAAGAGCCAAGTGGAGGCCTGGGTGGTGAAAACAGTTACGCACTCCTCTATTTATGGAAAAGTTGGTCGTTCGAACCACCCAGAGGCACTTTGGGAGACAGGCCTGGCAATCTGCTTCCGAAAGGTTGCTGTTGTTATATGCCGTCAAGTCGGACCCGACTCATAGCGACCCCTCCTTGGGTTTCCGAGGCAGTATCACTATGGAAGTAGATTGTCCCATCTTCCTTCCGAGGAGTGGCTGGTGGGTTTGAACCGCCAGCCTTCTGGTTAGCAGTCAAGTGCCTTAAGCACTATGCTACCTGAGCTCCCGCCTTGAAAACCCCATGGAACAGTTAGTTCTACTCTGCACACACATGGGGGACCCATGAGTCAGAATCAACTCCAATGCAGCTAACAACAAGAACATGAGCTAAGTGCTTTCCTTATACCATGTCAGTGAATATGCTCAGAGTCTGCTTGGTAAGTGGTGTTCTCTACCTACACATGAGGAAACTGAGGCACAGAGAGGTTATAGGTACATGTGGGAATTGAGAGGCCAGTCAATAGCAGGGGCTAAGAGGGGGAAAGGCAGTACCATTCCTAACCTTAATTATATGCCATGCCTGGACCTCAGAGGCAAGAGAGAGGGGGAGACATGTCCCTCATGGCTATGCTACAGCAAACACTGGCAAACAGGCCAGGTCCCCACCCCCTTTAGGTACTAAAGAGACAGTGACAAATCAGATATGCTGGGAAGACTTTCCAGTAAAGGGGATATTGACCTTGGCCTTAGAGGATGAGTAAGAGTTTTCCAGGAAGACAAAACAGGAAGAGCAGCCTGGGAGAGGACAGCATGTCCATGGGTCAGGGAAGAAAAAGAGAAGTGGCAAGAAGTCCAGTGTGGAGAGAGCCAAGGATGCCGCTTCCACAGAGGAGGGGAGGGGAAGCCAATGTCCCTGTTTTATAAGCAGCTCAGAGAACCTGAGCTTGAATTTGAACTCCAGATTCATGACAGACACCAGGATTTCACCCCTCTGGCCTGTGCTCTGCTGCCCCCAAGGTTTCACATTGTTAGAGGGCTGGTGATGTTCCTAGGTTGAACGGTGCCATGGACATACACTAGGGGCTTGGCACGAAGAGAGGAAAGCCCAAGTAGCTCCATAATTTCTGAGTCATTTCCAACATTTAATTTACTTTTACGAAATCTCTGGAGTACTTCTTCTTTGCCAAGAGATGGCATAAGGGAGTCCTTGGTGGTACAAACGGTTAACATACGTGGCTGCTAACCAAAAGGCTAGTGGTTTGAGTCCACCCAAAGACATTTTGGAAGAAAAGCCTGACTATCTACTTCTGGAAAAATCAGCCATTGAAAACCCTATGAAGGGAAAAAATAGATGAAGAACTTTAATGTGAACAGCCAAGAGATGGCATAGTCACTAATCTTTGAGGGAAACCAAAAACCAAAAACCAAACCCACTGCCATCAAGTCTATTCCAGCTGTTAATGACCCTCTTTAGGACTGCCCATAGGGTTTCCAAGGCTGCCTCATCTTTCTCTCGCAGAGCAGGGGGTGGGTTCAAACCACCAACTAAATGCTTTAACCACTACACCATCAGAAAGGGAGACATTATTATAATTCTGAGTGACATGGATTATGATAGTGGCCATTTATTTATTTATTTATTGTGATTTAAGTGAAAGTCCACAGAGCAAACTCCTTTTCCACACAGCAACTCACACACACCTTGTCGCAAGACATTGACTGTAATTTCCCACAATGCAACAGTTCCCTTCCTGCCCCCACCCCCCCACAACCAACTCTTCCCTGCATCCCTGTGTTGTTGTTGTTGTTATGTGCCATGGAGTCGGACCCAACTCATAGCGACCCCTCCCTGGGTTTCCAAGGCAGTATCACTACGGAAGTAGATTGCCCAAGCTTCCTTCAGAGGAGTGGCTGGTGGGTTTGAACCAATGGCCTTCTGGTTAGCAGTCAAGTGCCTTAGCTACTATGCTACCAGAGCTCCTTGCATCCCTATAGTGCCCATTTTTGTTAAGCCTTTACTGTAGACCAAGGAGTGAGTTGTTGTTGTTGTTGTTATGTGCCGTCGAGTCGGCCCCGACTCATAGTGACCCCTCCTTGGGTTTCCGAGGCAGTATCACTACGGAAAAGGAGTGAGTTAGTGCTTTTCATTTTATAATTTGATTCTTCTGGAGGCAGGAACACTGACCTGACTGGCAAGTTAGTGATGATGGCATTTTTCAGGACAACCAGGAGTTGAGGCATTTTAAGAAGCTTGTGCAGGAAGTCAGGGATGCCTGAATGTTCTGTATCACCCAGCGTGTGGTGTGGGCTAGCTTGTTGAAGAGGGTTGGATGTATCCCTGTCCCCACAGGTATTCCTTCCCATTTCTCCTGAGTGTTAAGAGCTATATAAATAATAATTGTTCCCCTAGACAGTGGTGCTCCTAGATCTCCCATAACCCCTGTTAAGCCCTTACTCTGTTAAAAGATAATACTCATACATACAATACAATGTTATTACTCATCTATAACATGAAATGAAGTCCTGATGCATGGGTCGATTACCCAATAAGCAAGGTAAGCAGATGCTTAGGGCATCAACAAAACAGGGGCATCAGTTGTCTAAAGCAAAGACCCATAGATGCCAAGCAGATGAGACACAAGGAAACGCAAGTGCTGTGGTGGAAGGGAACTGGCAGGGCACTACATGAAACTGATACCAGCTCCAGTGCATGAGAATGTGCTGGCAGGGCATAAAGCTCCAGAAGGGTCACAAGGGCACCATGCACAAGGTTGTTCAAGCTATGAGATGATTGGAATGTGATAGAGACAAAGGGGAAAGATCATTAGGTAGAAAATATGGCCTTATTGATAGAAACAACATTGGAGATCTCATGACAGAATTTTGCAAGACCAAAACTTATTCATTTCAAATACCTTTTTTTCAACAACATTAATGGCAGCTACACATGTAGACCACACCAGATGGCATATGCAAGAATCAAATGGACTATATCTGTGCAAAGAGATAATGGAGAAGCTCAATATTATCAGTCAGAACCAGGCCAGGGGAGGACTGTGGAACAGACTATCAATTACTCATATGCAAGTTCAAGTTGAAGCTAAAGAAAATTAAAACAAGTCCATTAGAGCCAAAGTACAATCTTGAGGATACCCCACCTGAATTTAGAGGCAATCTCAAGAACAGATTTCACACATTGAACACTAATGATCAAAGACCAGATGAGTTGTGGGATGACATCAACAGCATCATGCATGAAGAAACTAAAAGGTTATTAAAAAGACAGGACAAAAAGAAAAGGCCAATATGGATGTCAGAAGAGACTCTGAAACTTGCTCTTGGACACAGTAGCTAAAGCAAAAGGAAGAAATGATGAAGTAAAGTAACTGAACTAACAGAAGATTTCAAAGGGTGGCTTTACTTTGTCAAGTAAAGGATTATAGTGAAATGTGCAAAGACCTGGAGTTGGAAAATTAAAAGGGAAGAACATGCTTAGCATTTCTTAAGCTAAAAGAACTGAAGAAAAAATTCAAGCCTTGAGTTCCAATACTGAAGGATTCTATGGGCAAAATATTGAGTGACACAGGAAGTATGAAAAGAAGATGGAAGGAACACATAGAGTCACTGTACCAAAAATGATTGGCTGACATTCAACCATTTCAGGAAGTAGCATGTGATCAAGAACTAATGGGACTGAAGGAAGAAGTTCAACCTGAACTGAAGGCATTGGGAAAAAAAAACAAGGCTGCAAGAATTGACAGAATACCAATTGAGATGTTTCAGCAAATGGATGCAGTGCTGGAAGTGCTCACTCTTCTATGCTGAGAAATTTGGAAGACAGCTACTTGGCCAACTGACTGGAAGAGATCCATATTTGTGCCTATTCAAAGAAAAGTGATCCAGCAGAAGGCAGAAATTATCAAACAATATCAGGAATACCACATGAAAGCAAAATTTTGCTGAAGACAATTAAAAAACTATTGCAGCAGTACATGAACAGGAAACTGCCAGAAATTCAAGCTGGATTCAGAAGAGGACATAGAATGAGGGATATGGTTGATGATGTTATATTATCTTGGCCAAAAGCTGAGAATATCAGAAAGATGTTTACTTGTGTTGTACTGACTATGAAAAGGCATTTGACTGGGTGGATCATAACAAATTATTGCAAAGAATAGGATTTTCAGAACACTTAATTGTGCTCATGTGGAACTTGTACAAATACCAAGAGGCAGTAGTTAGAATAGAACAAGGGGATACTGAGTAAATTAAAATCAGGAAAGGTGTGCGTCAAGGTTGTATGCTTTTACCATACTTATTCAATCTGTGTGCTGAGCAAATAATCTGAGAAGCTGGACTATATGAAGAAGAACGTGGCATCAGGATTAGAGGAAGACTCATTAACAACCTGCGATATGCAGATGACACAACCTTGCTCACTGAAGGTGAAGAGGACTTGAAGCACTTACTAATGAAGATGAAAGACTACAGCCTTCAGTATGGATTACACTTCACCATAAAGAAAACAAAAATTCTCACAATTGGACCTCAATAAGCAACATCATGACAATCAGAGAAAAAATTGAAATTGTCAAGGATTTCATTTTACTTGGATCCACAATCAATACCTATGGAAGCAGCAGTTAAGAAATCAAATGATACATTGTATTGAGCAAATCAGCTGCAAAAGATCTCTTTACAGTTTTTTTTTTTTAAATTATAAGAAAACAAATATCAACACATGACTGTTAACTAGTCAGAGATTTTCCCTCCCCAAAAGATCTCTTTAAAGTTTTAAAGAGCAAAGATGTCACTTTGTAGATTAAGCCATGGCATTTTCAATGGCCTCATATGCATGAAAAAGCTGGACACTAAATAAAGAAGACCAAAGAAGAATTGATACATTTGAATTTTGGTGTGGGCAAAAATGTTGATTATACGTGGACTGCCAGGAGAATGGACAAATCTGTCTTGGAAAAAGTACAGTTGGAATGCTCCTTAGAAGCAAGGATGGTGAGACTTCATCTTATGTGCTTTGCACAGGTTATCAGGAGGGATCAGTCCCTGCAGAAGGAAGTACATCACACTTGATAAAGCAGAGAGTCAGTGAAAAAGAGGAAGACTCTCAGTAAGGTGGACTGACACAGTGGCTGCAACAATGGGATCAAACATACCAACAATTGTGAGGATGGTACAGGACCAGGCAGTGTTTCGTTCTGTTGTACACAGTGTCTCTACGAGTCAGAACCAACTTGACAGCACTAACAACAATAACATGGAAACTACTAAGTGTTTTTCAAGGGTAGGAAGGAGGGGACAGGGAGACATTTTGTTTAGGGGCATTGAGTTTATGTCAATGGTTGTGGAATAAGTTGGAAAAGAATAGTGATTATGGTGACACAACATGGAGAATGTAATGAATGTCACTGAATTACACATACGGAAACTATTGCCTAGGTGAATATTTTGTTGTATATATTTTCACAAATTGTTTTTTTAAAAAAGTCTTATACTTGTAATTCCCATTCCTCCGATATGAGAGACCTTCGAAGGGTAGTCTCTGGAGAGGATTCCTCTGGATGATTTACCTGGGGCAGAGGAGCCTAACATGGTGGTAAGGGAAATCTTATTCTTGTGTCTTTCCTATCCAGTGCAGTCCCTGGAAGAAGAACGCCTGCTGCTCAGTCAGCACCAGCCAAGAGCTGCACAAAGACACCTCCCTCCTGTACAAATTCAACTGGAACCATTGTGGCAAGATGGAGCCCAACTGCAAACGCCACTTCATCCAGGACACCTGTCTCTATGAGTGTTCCCCCAACCTGGGGCCCTGGATCCAACAGGTGTGGCTGCCGTCCCCACAAATATGCACTATGGCACTTGTAGGGAGGGCTTAATCTGAGGGTAGTAGAGGTACTGCCTTGGCCCCCAATCCTGGTCTTCTTCAAGGCTGTGGCTGATGAGATGCCTGGCTGACAGGTGCTCTTCTCCCTCTCCACCTCACCTAGGTGGACCAGAGCTGGCGCAAAGAGAGGATCCTGGATGTGCCCCTGTGCAAAGAGGACTGTCAGAGCTGGTGGGAGGACTGCCGCACCTCCTACACCTGCAAGACCAACTGGCAAAAGGGCTGGAACTGGACCTCAGGTGAAGGCCTTGTGGGGGGAGAAGATGGGGATGAAAGTGGTGATTCTAATTGCAATTGGGAGAGATGAAGTCTGGCCCATCAGATGAGTGCCTGTGTTCCTTCCAGGGATTAACGAGTGTCCAGTCCGGGCTGCCTGCCACACGTTTGAGTTCTACTTCCCCACACCTGTTGACCTGTGTGAGGGCCTCTGGAGTCACTCCTATAAGGTCAGCAACTATAGCCAAGGGAGTGGCCACTGCATCCAGATGTGGTTTGACCCAGCTCATGGCAACCCCAACAATGAGGTGGCAAGGGTCTATGCTGAGGCAATGAGTGGGGCTGGGTCCCATGGGACTGGGCTCCTCATTCTCAACCTAGTCCTGATACAGTTATGGCTCTTTGGCTGAGCAGCTTCCACTGCCGACACTTGGAGATCTGGACAGCAGAGCCCAGACTGCATCCTTGCCCTGTACCTAACCTGGGTGCCTAGATTCAGCCCAGCTCAGCTCTCTCAGATGAGGGGGCTCACAATCCGTTCAATCCAAGCCCTGGTCATTGGTTTGTAACCCAGGGTGGGACCCCTGGGCTTCCCCTGTCAACTTATTCTAATGCAGGCATGTTTCACACAACATCCGTTCAGGCAACATCTAACCACATATATGTCTGTGGTCTCAACCCCATAAAGCCTATTATATTAAACTTTCATGACCCAATTATTTTCTGCTTTGATTTTTTTGTTGATGTTGTATGTTTTCATTAATGGAAGGCTTGCTAAATCAGAGCATTTCTGAAATTTTGTTATGATCAGAATGTGGATTTTGCTACATATTATGTGAAACATGTATGTCTCTCTGGACTCTCTCTCTCTCTCTGTGTGTGATTATGTGGGACACATATGTTCCTCTGGACCCTGCATCACCTTCCAGATCCCTTCATAGGTGAGCACAATGTATGAAACTGAAAATGAGGTAACTGCTCAAACCTGGAATTATTGCAAGAAATGTAACTCCCAACTAACCCAAAAGAACCTATGAAATTTACTTACAAGGCTTATCTCCCAGTAAAAAGCCAAAAAATATAAAAGTCTTATACTATTTCATACCACACCACGTAAAAACAGTAACTTGTGGCTGTTTCAGACAGTTATACAGGTTTCTGCATGCCAGCAGCATATACTGTCAGTGGGAAATCAGCTTCCCAATAAACCCCAGAAGTAGAATGTTCCATGGGTCACAAAAGGGTTAAAAACTCAAGGCATATACAATGGTTCATAATAACAAATAGGGGCTACTTTGTGATGTGCATCAAAACATTATTAATGTTATTACTGTATTATGTTAAAGATGTTTTTGTGTATCTGAAAGGGTTTAATTTTTTTATGCATAGAAAGTATACTATATACTATACACTAAGACAAATATTTGCTTAACTGATGTTAGGTATCAACTACATGCAACTGTTTTGACTTACGTACAATTTGACTTAAAAATAGACTTAGGAACAGAGCTTTTTCATAATTCAGGGACTTCCTGTATATAATATAGTGTTTACACAACATCCAAATCACATAACATCCTATTTCACAGAATGCATCATGGACATTAAGCTACACATGACTGTACACAGATCCATGTGTATCTTGTAAAGAATTTAGGGATGAGTGGGTTTGGGGGACATGACCCATTGCTTCACCATTGTCATTCATAGGCCCAAAGAGGGGCTGAGACTAGCCTGAGGTGCCCCAACAAGTGGGGAGTGGAAGTTGGTTTAGAATCCAGGCACCTGACCCCTTAGCCTGGATCTCTTAATCTTGCACCTGCTGCCTTCATGCCAAAGTCATTACTCTCACACCACAAAAGGCTGATGGAAGGAAGATGGGTTCCTAGAAGAGAGAAAATTTCCTTCTCCTTCCCTTACTAAATGTGGGGTGAGGTAGAGACAGTGATGGTGGATCTGGATGGTGAGTACTTGCATTGTTTCCTTTTTAAAAAGCTGCAAATAATATTGTAATGAAAAACCTGGTACTTAGTGGAACGTTATACTTGGAGGGTAAATTCCCACAAGTGGGACTTCTGGATCAAGGAGTAAATGGATTTATAATTTTTTTCCCCTGGAATCTCAATCCCACTACTGACAAACTTTGGGAGCTGAAACCCTGGGGCCTCAATTTTCATATCTGTGAATAACTTGTCCTTGTTTTCTAAACTTCTTCTGTGAGTCATTTCATGGGAGTTCCAGTAAGATGGCAGACTAGGCAGAAAGACTGCACAGACCCTCTTCAACAAAGAAAAGGGAAACGAATTAACACAGATACAGAAGATAATCCTGGACCCCTGAGCTTTGAAGGGAAGGATATAGAAGTGGACTAAACCCCAACCAGCAGAAGAATCTGCATGAGGACTTCTGGTGAGATGGATGAATAGGCAGACAAGCAACACAGACCCTCTTCAACAAAGAAAAGAAAAACCAATTTACAGAGATATAGAAGATAATCCTGGAGCCCTGAACTTTGAAAGGAACTATACAGAAGTGGATTAGGCACCAACTAGTGGAAAGACCTGAACAAAAACAGTGAGTACGGAGATGGTCAGAGCTACGGACTGTCAGCTACTCTGACGGGACCAACAGCTTGAATATTTCCAAATGGTGTTGGAACCTGAAAATTGACCTAAAGATCAGCCCTGGTCACTAAGGGCTGCAGGGACGACTGCACTGGTGGGCTATGACTAGGAAGGGAAACAGCAAGGAGGGAGACAACCTGAGCTGTGGACTTTCTGCTGTTCGAAGGGCACAGCCATTTTGATTGTTTACACATGGCAGCCATTTTGGATATTTAAAGTGACCTAGGGTGCAGCCATTTTGAATATTTACAAGTGGCAACCATTTTGGATTTTAAAGTGACACCATTCTCATTTGGATTCCAGGAACCTAAGAATAGGCTCTGTTTGCCAAGGTCAGCAGGGACATATGGGAGGCTGACAACAGGAAAGGAGACAGGTGGTGAGTGTATAAGTGCTGTCAACTAGTGAATAGAGGAGCACAATACCCTGCTTGCGTAGATAACATACAAACAAAACAAAGAAAATGAAAATTGTGGGAAAGTCATTCCAACATACAATCACCAATTAAATATAAACACAAAAACGTCACAATGCCTCAGAGACAACAGAGCATCACAATCCACACAAAGAAGTAAGATAAAGCAGAAGAAACAAGGGACCAGGATACAGACCCAAAACACAACCCTGAGGAAGATGCAGCATTGGAACTCCCTGAGAAGGAATTCAAAAGAATTATATTTAGGTATCTTCAACAAATTGAGAGATAGAGCAAGGAAAACACTGACAAAATTGAGGAAAACACAGAGAAAACCCTATAACAATTTCAAAAGACAACACAAGAACAAAATGACAATATAAATGAAAAATTTGAAATGATACAAAATCTATACACGGAAATCCAGAAGATTAATAGTAAATTTTCAGAAATAGGTAAGACATTGAATGGGCAAAGGAGCAGAATTGAATCAATGGAAGACAGAATTAGTGAGAAATAAATACCTGAACACTTCTTTGGAAAGAGGTCAATCAGAAAAAAGATCAAAACAAAATGAAGAATGGCTAAGGTTCATGTGGGATCCCATCAAAAGGAATAATCTACGTGTCATTGGAATTCCAGAACAGGAAGAGAAAAATAAAACCACTGAGAAAACTGTGGGTCATTTTATGCAACCTATTGAAAATGACGCATAAACTTTAAATCCTCTTGAAAACTACTCATGTGCCAAGCATTAAATTACACATTTTGTCACTTACAGAAATCAGATTCCTTCTTGATTCTACCTCTCCCCAAACCACACACATTTTTTTATCAGCCCCAACTCATTAATTCTATTTAGAAGCTTCCTGTTCTCCCCTCCATCCCTGGAGCCCTAGATCTCACCCAGAGCACATCTTTCCTGAATACTGACCAAACAATAACAACAAAAACCAGTTATCCTCAAGTCAACTCTGACTCATGGCAACCACATGTGTCCTGAGTAGAACTGTGGTCCATAGGTTCTTTCAGAGGCAGATCACTAAGTTTTTCTTCTGAGGCGCCTCTGGGTGGATTTGAACCACCAAACGTTAAGTTAGCCCGGCACTAAACTGTTTGCACCACCACAAAACCAAAATGAAAACCTGTTGCCAATTTCATAGCAAGCCTATAAAACTTACAGTAGAGCTTCCCCATAACTTTCAAGGCTGTAATCATCACAGAAGCAGACTGCCACATCTTTCTCTCGTTGAACTCTTAACCACTGCACCATGAGAGATCTTTTGTACTACCCAAGCCAAATTCACTGCCATCAAGTCGATTCCAACTCATAGTGATCCCCATTGGGTTTCCCAGGTGGTAAACCTTTATGGAAGTAGATTGCATCATCTTCCTTCTCCAGAGTGGTTGGTGGGTTTGAACTGCCAACCTTCTGGTTAGCAGTCAAATGTCTTAGGCATTGCACCACAGGGACTCCAAATTATGACAAAGAAAGGCTCTGCCTTCCAGAGTGATATTTTGGTCCCGCAAATCTCTTGAAGCCACTCCCCTCTTGTGGTCCACTGCCTCCATTACAACTTAGCTGGCCAGGAATTGCCTCCTGTCCCTAGCCTCCCTTTCTCCCTGCCTTGGCCCCACACATTCCAAATACTCTGAAAGCTGCCTTTACCCTCCCTCCATCTCTCAACGTTTGTGTTTGTGGACCCTCTCCCCTTCATCTGGCAGTTCTTAGGGACTTAGAGATAGCTAGCTGGACCTCTTTTGATAGTTACAGCTTTACAGGGGTTGCATCAATTTGGCCTCCCACCAGCAATATCTGAGAGTGCCTGTTTCCCCACAGCAATAAGGGTAACACGTGTAGTACAGTTAAATTTTTAGATTTCTGCTAAGTGGAAAAGGGGCATCTCAGAATAATTTTCATTTTCTATATGTCTTTTCATGAGAACACTCTTTCTGAGATCTTTCCATATTAATCTATTGAGATCTAAAATTGCTGGGTAATATTCCAGTCTATGTAACATCACATTGTATTCAGTCCTCTGCTGGAAGATACTTGAAGAAGGGGAGTTCTTTTATGACCTTGACATTTTTTAAAAGGGCAGACAAGTTATTTTGCTGAATATCCCTCCGTTTGGTTTATCTGCTTCCTCATGATTAGATTGAAGTACGCACTTTTGGCACAAATGCCCCAATAGCAACGCTGAATTTTCCTGGTGCATCGTAATGGAAGGCATATGATGCTGGGTTCCTGGTGGTGTTAAAACAAACAAACAAACAAAAATCCTCACTTTCATCAAGTCAATTCCAACTAATAGTGACCCCTATTGGATTTCCAAGACTGTAAATCTTTACAGAAGCAGATTGGCTTATA